TTTTTTATAGAATTTATCAAATGCAGGACCAAAAACTCAAGTACAAATCAACAAAGTTTTAACAGTGAAATAAAATTTATACCAACCACTTTTTTCTACTATGTAAATGGACATTATAAATCTGGATTAATTGGGACATTATGGGTGAATTGGTACAAATGCCGAATTGGGGGGGGGGGGGGACAACCATCCATTTTAACCTTGTCCAATTCACCCTCCCCAATGTCCTAATTAACCCCTGAATATGGCTGAGATCATGAAGTTTACTATTCCATCCGACATCTTACTGTATACGGAATAGTGTCAGGAGCGGATCTACAGGGGGTGCGCACCCCCTAGTGGTGTCCAGCACCCCCTTGACCTCTTGAAGAAAACTCTGGTATTCCATATTTGAGTTGTGAATACTACTTATTATATTGAAACGATTGATTTTTGAATACACAAGAAACTATTCAAGCACCAATACGACTATCTGAAGAGTAATACAACTATCTGAAAAGTACAAGCAGAACTTTGATGTTTTGAGCGAAGGCCAGAAGTTCAGACAAAGTGTTGAAGTTCTGCATATATTTTTCTGGTAATATCGTTCACAGCTTCACACCACAACCTTAAGTGCTGTTATTGTCTGTACCTACACTAGTTGTTCTAGATTTGAAATTCTTACATCTCTCTAGTACTGTAAAATACCCCTATGATTGTGGGTTCTCTTCTTAGCTGGTAGAAGTTACATTGTTGAACCCATACAAAACGTTTTAATTAACACAAGAAACCTGGAGGTCAGACAGTCCTTTTGCAAAGCATAGTCAGGTTTTTTTTCAGGGATTTTTTAAGACCGTAAAACGGTCCCAAAAACTCAATCTTGAATTGAGTTTTGAAACTCAATCTTCTTACCAAACGATTCAGTGCAGTAAAAATGAAGTTGTTTGAGTTAAATTCATGACATGTGCAAATTAGTTTTAAGTTGGAAACCCGACAATCAAGAAAAAATGGCTGGAATTAATTTCACAGCACAAGAAAAACAATGCATTCTCTATCTTTAACCAGTTTATAGTGTCTGCTTTAACACATTGTGTCTCAACTACACTTATTGGGTACAGGTGTCAGCCCCCC